CCCAGAACATGCCTGACTCCTCGCCTGCAGTAAATGTATTTGTTTTGAGAAGTGTCCTTCCCACCTTGGCCCTTCCCTTTCTGGGGCCTGTGTGTCCTCAGCCCAGACCTGGCCCCGAAGGGAACAAGGCAGGGAGGGGCAGGAGGCAGACCAGCCAGGTCCAGTGCTGCTTGGGGCTAGGCACTCCCTCTTCAACCCACCACAGCCTCCCGGTAGATTGAACACATTCTAAGTTCAGGGTGACTGAAAGGTTCTCCCGGGGTCTGCTTTCGTTCTCTCCACGTTTAAACAAAGTCTCTTAGTGTTACACTGGTCTGCGATGCCTCTGCGGTGCAGAGTCAGTCACACCCACCCCACCCCCGAGTTCGCCTCCTTCTGCCAGGCAAATTCACCATGCTTCCCTGCCCCCAGCACCTGGCTTGGATCAGACCACAGCCCTTTCTTACCCAGGGTTCACTGCTCTAGGAAACAGTCATCAGTTTAAGAAATCACTGGTCCCTGCCCAGCACACTGAACAGGGGAGAAGATGGGTCACAGCTTAGCTGCCCAGCAAGAACACCACTGTCCTTGGAGGGCAGCCTGTCCCTTCACCTAAGGCTTTAGGATGACACAAGTCAACTCCTACTCCTAGAAATCAGTGTCTCTGGTTTGTTTTGTATTATGTTGTACATCATTAAAGCTCTAAATACAAAGGATATACAGTCTTGAATCTAAAGTAATTTGCTAACTATTTTGATTCTTCAGAGAGAACTAATAAAAACCTAAAAGGTGTGTCCTGTATCATGTCCTCACTCTTGAGAGGCTGCTTTCCTCAGGGCCAGGGCTGTGGGGATTTGCTGCTGGGGATGGACTGGAACCCAACCACTGCCTAGCAATACAGTATGCCCACGACAGGTCCGAGGAGCTAGCCCTACGGTCAGCCCTGGTCTCTGTGTGCAAAGGCTGCTGGGCCCTGACCCAGCTCAGCTCTGGCCTGGGCAGGAAGGGGCCTTCTGTGATGACAGCTGGCAGGATGGGATTGAGACTACCTCCTAGTTCTGAGCAGTAGTGCCGTAGCTTGTGGATCTGACTTCATCCCTCAAGGTTTTTGTACTTAATGCTGCTGCTGGTTGGCGATCTCTTAATTTTAAGGACTTGTGCGAGGAGCTGTAGAGCCTTAGACCAGACTGGGAGTACAGTGCCCTCTGCTGGTCAGATGAGGCATGGCCTGAGACTGCAGTTTTAGCCCTTTTTCTGGCCTTGTAATTAAGCCCTCCTTTTAAAACCTTACTTACCAAAGTATCCTTTGCTGGAAAAAAAAAAAAAAAGTTTCCTATATTGTTGGCATAAGAACTTCACTTTGTCTTAGGATAAGGTGATCAGACGTCCTGCATTTTTGGAAAGAATGCATGACAAGCTAGGGTATATGGTTTTCGGCTGCCATGTGGCTGTTTTGCCAGGATAAGAATTTTATCAATGGTGTCCTGCTTTACCAATGTTAAAATCTGGTCACCTTATCTTAGGATGGCTTTGGGAGGTGAGGGACACTTGGAAGCTTTGTGTGAGAGCGTAGAACCCAGATGCCAGGTCACTGAACAAGCCCTGGAGAAGGGATGAGGCCTTCTGGGGTGAGGTGGAGCCAGGAGATGGACATGCTGAAGAGCCTCCAGAAAGGGCCGTGGGCTCTTCAGAGAAGTGGCCCCCATCCTGAGCCAAATCCTAAGGGTGGCAGAAGGGGAGGAGTCTCCGGATAGAGCAGCAGGTGGGTCAGGTCAATCAAGCAGAGGTCAGAGGCGGGGAGAGAATTCTGAGGGATGCCCCGTCTCAGCCCTGGGCTGCAGGAAGTTTGGCGGGGGTGGGAGGAGGCTGTCCGCACAAACCCGGGGTTAGAGGTGTAAATGCTCCTGTTAACAGGCACAAGTCAAGATTTACTTATTTTATGATGTTTTCCAAAGCTAAATTAAAGCCCCCAAATTGGTGGGAGAGCTCAGCTTGTCCCCAGCACTCCTTAACAAGGGGCTGGTATTTTGCTCAGTCTTGAAGGAAGACAATTTTCAGTTTATAGAAGCCCCAGACTCGGTACATGGCCTTCCCCAGCTTGTAATGGACCTCTGACCTCCAGCAGACCACTCCCTCTTCTGATCCCCAAACTCAGAAACAACATCTGGGTTACTAGACCCAAATGTGTCCTGACCAACAACTGGTCAGTAAGTGAAGACAAACTGTCTTCTAGTCCTAAGAAGAGGCCGCGTGAAGTTCTTCAGCATAGTCTTGCAGATGGTCCCAGGCCGTGGGCCTGTCCAAGGCCCTGTGTGGTTGAGGCAAGGCTGACAGGACAGGACCAGGCATGGCTTCTGGTCTATGTGAGGATGACCCAAGAATCCAGCGTGTTCTCCTGCACTACCCCTAACCTCTAGGACACAGCTGCTCTCTCTGGGGCTGTAGCCGACCTGTGGCAAGACAGATAAAGCTGCAGCTGGCTCCTCAGACTCTGGATGCACTTGGACTTCAGAACCATGATTTCATCCAACTGGGTCACAAAATCTTCAAAGTCCTAAGGAAGCAAACAGACAAATGGAGTACTTGCTATATGGCTGCTCTGCTGGATCTGCTTTTCAAGGCCTGGGGCCCCTGGCTGAAAACTGCAGGATGGTGCCCGGTACAGAGGGGCACCAGCTCTGCGTCGTCTGAAAGAGTTCTACGTATAGGGGTGTCTTACAGGTGGAAGTGCCTCTGGTCTGCACATGGCAGGCAGCAGGTTGGTCAGTCACTGTTGCAGTCACAGAGAAAGCCCCCCCGAAAAGCTAGCTGGAAAGGACAGCTGGGAGTGGGGCTGACCACAGACAGCACCACCCTCTCTCTGTGGGCTTGTGGTCCCTTTGGCCTTTTAAGCTACGTCAGTGATGAGAGAAGGTACAAGACCTCAACAGTAGTGGACGACAACAACCCGTTCCAGGCCACTGAGCCCCACATCCAACAAAGACGAGCATCAAATATTTTGGCCACTTACCTGAGACGTGCACTGGCTCATCAGGGTCTCCTCCTGGCAGCCCAGCTCGGCCATTGCCTGCAGTTGGTCCTGGTGTGCTCGGATCACCACTTGCCTGGAACACCAGAAGGGAAACAGCCTCCTGAGGACACAGGGACACAGAGCTGAGGCTCATCTCCAGGACAGCAGCTGCCAAAGTAGTCATGGCTTTGACCAGGGCCCACAGCCCCCAGCCCTGTCCTGGGATGTTCTTTCCTGGGACTTGTCAAGGGGCCAGGGAGATACGGGGAGAGATGGCATCTGCAGCTTCCTTCTGCCCCACCCTGCCCAGCATTTCTGGGGAGCGCGGGAAGGAACTGGATGCTGCTGCTTCCTTTGCATGGCTTCCAGGTCATGACCACTGAGACTGACTGGGACAGGGATGGACCCAGGGACCAAAGCTGGGGCTGAGCTGAAAGCTGCAGGGCCGTCTTGTCACACTACTGACCGGCCACTCAAGGGAGGCAGCCTCCTCACCTGTGCATCCCGCATGCCCTTGGTTATTGCCCCTGACCAGAGTTGCCTGGTGCTCCTCCAGCTCTTAGGGGCACCTCATAAGGAGCTGCAGCCTATTGGAAGGAGCAGCCTCCAGGCCCACTTTAACCGAGTGGGGGCTCCATCTCCTCTTCCATTCTCTTAACACGGCTTCCTCGCCACCTTTTTGAGTTGTACCATTCTCACCAACCCGCCTTGCTTTGTCCCTTGCCACCCTGTCAGTGCTCCAGGCTGCCAGCTGTGGCTCCTGTGGCCAGGCAGCATTTCCACAAGCAGAGAGAAGGGGGTCCTGATCTTACCACAGACCATCGGCCTGGTGGAGGGGCAGGATCTTCCCTTCTCTCGCTTCCCACTCAGCATGCCAGGTGGGGAGTCCACCCACACTGGCAGCCTTGCTCCCATGCCTGCTGCTCCTCCAGCATGTGACAGACGGCAACCAGGCAGGCCCCTTGGTGAAGCTGAGCCAACCACAGCCATTCCCATGGCGGAGCCTGGGGCTGGAGCGGAGGGAGGGGTGTCAATGGGGAGAAAGCCAACTTACTGTGCTTGCCCCAGAGTGGGCTCATGGAGTGTCCTTGCAGTCTTGGCCGAGCAGCTGGAGACAAAGGCAGAATCTGGCCTTGCTAAGCACCTTGGCGCTGGCCTGTGTTTGTCCTGGTAGCAGGACTTCATGGGGTCTGTAGACAAATCCATTTGCTGCCAACCCCGCCCTGCCAGCTGTTTTCTTCCCTGGTCCCAGGGCTGGTCAGCCATATCAGTCCTTCCCGTCCACGGGGGGAATGGAGGCCCAGGGTGAGGTCTCCCAGTGTGTGTGTGGGGAAAGGGCTTTCCTGGGGAACTCCAGGAGCCACCCAGTTCTGTCTCCTCGGCGTCGGCGTCATAGTGCTCACTCCCCATGGGGTTCTGGGAGAAGAGTCCAGGGTCTCGGCTCTGGCCAGCCACTCCCAGGCCAGCCTCCTTGCTGGGCAGTGTGTCAATGTCAGGTGGGTGCTGATGGATGGGTGATGGGGACAGAGCTGGAAGACCAGGGCCAGGCTTGTCGTCGGGGGGAGATGAGGAGAGCCACAGGGGCCTGTTAGCTGCAGACACTGTTTGGACTGCCTCGTGATCACCAGGTGACACAACTGAGCCTCCCGTGTCCTCTGTCACTCGGGTGCAGGCAGCTCCAGACGGGAGCACTTGTCCCAAGGGAGGAGAGTGGTCATCACCAGGGTTCTCCAGGAGGGACACAGAGAGGGGAGCCATCAGTCCAGAGGCATGCTCAGAGCACAGGTCTGATTCTCCTCCAGAGGCCTCTCCTGGGAAGAGGTCAGAATTTCTCACAGTTCTGGTCACTAGAGCTGGGCCACCTTCACGGACTTCTCGGGAAGGGGTGGTGGCTGTGTGTCTCTGGTCTGGGGACCCCAGAACTGCGATGTGAGACAGCGAGACCATGAAACTGTCCTCCAGTGATTGTGAGCGGTCTTCCCTGAGATCAAGGGCAGGGTCCCCACTCCTCCCTGGGGGATACACAAAATCCACTTGTGAGCAGTAAGGCTTCTCTGCCAGGTGGCCTCCTGGAGAAAGAACCTGGGAGGTGGAGTCTTCCTGGCCCCAGTCCAAGCGCAGCTGACTTGGGCTGTGGCTGTAGGCCAGCTCGGCCCTCCTGGGGCTGCTGGGCTCCCTCGAGCACACCCAGCTTCCTTCAAGATCCTTCCTGTCAGCCTCTGTCCTGGGGCGGAAAAACAGGCTTTGCTGCTGCCCGGCCCCCTGCTCCTCAGCCCTCGGCTCCCCCTGATGAAGGAAGAAGGGGTCCTCACTGTTCGCTAGGGCGTTTCTTCGTGCCGTGCTCCTCTGACCAGACACGTGTGAGAAGGAGTCCTCGCTGAAATCGCTGTCGTCGAGGTCTTCCCCCTGGGCCCCATCCTGGCTCTCGGGACACGAGCAGGACGGAGGGGAGGTCTCCCTTGGGAGCTGGCTTTCTTGGGGTCGGTACCGGCATAAAAGCCTCTCGAGCGGCTGGTACTTTAACTTCTGCTGGAGGAGAGGCGGCTGCTGAAACTGCTGGTGGTAAATGCGCAGGTGCTCCTCCCGGTCTTTTTGGTGTGGGGGAATGTCTGTCCAGGCCTCCGACACAGGCCTGCCCACTGCATCTGCCTTGCGGTCTCGCCCGTTCTCCGCCAAGTGGTGGATGTCGCCAAAGGAGAGCTCCCCTCGGGACACCAGCTGCTTCTGCACGGGCTGCACGGGCTGCACCTTCTTGCTCTTGGTAGCCAGCCGGCTGGGTCCCAGGCCTTCCTCAGGGCCAGGGGCCCGGCCTTCCCACCCAACCGCAGGCTTGCTGCCTGTGTGGCTTTTTTCAGAGCACAAGGGTGCTGGTTCTTCTGCCTTTTTACCCAGGTGTCCAGGACCCCTGGCTCCTCTGACAGGGCTAGTCTGAATGGCCCAGCCCTGTGGAGGACTCCCTCTGGCGGCAGTCCTTCTAGCAGGAGCCTGGGGCACAGACGCCAACGGGATATTGGGTGAGTGGACAGTCAGAGGCTGGACCTTCCCTCTCAGGGAGCCAGGTGCCACCGTGAGCGATGGCTGAAGTCCTAGCTTGAATTTTTTGGGAGAACACTTGTCTCCTGGCAGGGCCCCAGGGGAATTCTGAATTCGTTTAGGGGAGGCGCTTCCAGATGCCTGATTCCGACCAGTGGCTGGAGCACAGCACTTAATGCCTTTCTTCAGTTCCTTCACCCTGAAAAGGACCACTTCCGTTAAATGTGTGTGCGCTCACATATGTTGACAGAAAGTCACAGGAAAACAGTCCCCAAGGTTGGGAGTTCTTACTTTATGTGACAGAGAAGAAACGGAGCTCTACCTCTCTCAGGATGAGATACCCTTCTTGGACTGAACAGCTGCAGGATCGGGAGAGTTCAGGAAACTACCACAGTGCTACAGGAGGGGCCGGGAGCCACGCCCAGCTCTGCACGCAGGGCCCATGCTGTGCCTTTTCAAGACGGGCCACCCTCCAGAGCCCTGTGTCTACACTTGCCCTTACCCTGCAGTCTATAGTCGGAAAGCGCTCCAGCAATTCCCTGAGCCAGTGGCATTTAAGGGAACAAAACCACTCCAGAGATCAGCAGCAGTCTGGTACTAATTCCATGAAGCAAGAAACTCTCTCCCAGGGGTGCTCAGCCTCGGCCCTTCTGCCACTGTGGGCCCGCTGACTGCTGCTGGGGAGGGTCCCAGGCTCTGTGGGCTGCTTGCCCACTGGGTCCCAGCAGTGCTCCCCCAGCCACAGCAGTCAAAACTCTCCAGATACTGCCAAATGTCCTCAGGGGAAATATTGCTCTGGTGAGAACCACTGCTCAACTCCACAGGGAGCATGGAAAAATCCAGAATTAGGTCTCTGCTAGGATTTAGTTGCCAAGCTCTAAGTCTATTGCTCTGTGATACTTAAAATAAAAACGAGTTTTGCTTGAACACGCTAAAGATTTAGAATTATAAGACAGCATCAAGCAAAAAGGTGACTCTCCAGTGACTTGTAATTTCTGTCTTCAAATCCCCTGGGAGGGTGCAGTCCTACTGCTTAGGGAGCTCATGGAAAGCGGCTTCCTATTTCTGGTTTCAGTCCTACCCAGTGAGAGCCAAGTGACCATGGAGACGTGATTGGAATCTTCCCTCAAGGGCTGCAAGGCAGGCCGTGTGTTTGAGGAGGAGGATGCGGGGGTGAATAAACACACAGGAACGTGTCTGTGGTCTTCTCCTGACGCGTTGCCAGTTTGTCACACATAAGAGCAGGGGCTGAGAGGTGCCACCACAAATCTAGATGGTTCCAAATTGCTTCTGTGTGTACAAACCCAGATTTTAAAACTTTATAAGGGGGGGAATGCGTTAAGATAGATGTGGTGCTGAATGTACAATTCCCCTTGATATGACTGAACAATGGAAATATTCGATGTATGATATATGTAAATTGTGTGCCAATAAAAATGTTGGAATAAAAAAAGAGTGAGAAACCAAAAGTTCCTCCTGGAAGCTGGAGTAAATCACGGTAGCAACCCGAGTGCCTGAGCGACAGGTACGGTTGTGGACGTGAAGGGGTTGTCAGCCTGCTTACCAAACACTTGTGTCAGTGACTGGATGGTGCGCTTGCCTGGCGTTGGAGATGCTGCCCTAGAGGGTTGCCAGGAGCCAGAATTGACTTGAGGGCAAGCCATCGATATGGTTGTGTTTTGTTTCTTTCTTTTTTTTTACAAGTGAGGGAACTAGGGTCAAGAAAACACAGCTAGCCAGTGGCAGAGTCAGGAAACTGACTCTAAAGCCTACTCGTGGAAACTCTTTTGAAATCACTTCTCCTATTCGTGAGATACGGTGCATGAAGCATCTCCCTGGAGGCGCGGGGCCCCAAAGAAGCGCCTTTCATCCATACATCTGTACTGAGCATCTATTAGTACTAGTTGGTCTGGACTCCGCGATCCTACGTGCAACAGCAGGGAACCTGCCCCGTCCCAGCACGAGCACCTACCAGGCAGGACTGCCGCCGGGGCACCAAGAACACGGTACAGAAAAACAAAAGGAAGGCTCTGTTCTCAAGGGACTCAAACAATTGCTCACCACTCCTTCCCAGTTGGGTTCATAAAATGCCATGGATTCAGTAATGAAAAACAGACCAAAGCATGTTAATCTTGAAGAGCAAGAGAAAGATTCAAGTGAAGGAGCCAGAGGATCTCACCCTCGGGACAACAGAGGCCGTGGAAGAAGAGAGGAGGGTGACCCAAGTCGCCCCAGGAAGAGCCCCAAACAGGCAGTAAGATGGCTCAGCTCTGCCACCAACTCCCGACACACCCTTGCAGAACTTCTGCCCTTCTCTGGCCCTCACCTTACCCTTCTGCAATAGGCTGAGTTGCTTTTGGGCCAACATGGCTCGGAATGATTTTGCCTTGGTAAGTAGTACATCTTGTATTCCTCTGATTAGGGCTGAAGCAGCCACAAGCACCTCGTGCTCGCCATTTAAATGGTGGCTTGAAAAAAGCCACCAAGATGTCAGTGCACCCCTAAACCAGGGACGATGCCGTCTTCCACATTGCACACTTGCAAATGGTAGGGCCTATCTGGTCACCTTCTTTGAAAGACCAATTGCTATTGGGGCCAAAAGCAGGGCTCAGGAAGCTCCAGGTGGATGAAATGCACAAGCATCTTGGGCCGCCGGCAGAAGCCCACTCACCGGTCAGCATAGCGCAAGGTGTTCAGCGTGTGCTCGGTGGCCATGTGGCTCGGGGAGATGTTGGCGATCATGCAGGTTTTGGCATTGCCAATGAAAGAGTCCTTCAGGACCTGTCCGGAACAGAAGGCAGGGCAGTGAGTGAAGGGCCTGGGCAGAGAGAGCTTACTGACTCCACGACGCTGGGCAGAGAGGCCGCCTCTGCTGTAAAAGGCAGTTCAGAAAAGAAGAAATCCAAATGGCCCCCCAAAAGTACTCATTTTACTACTAAGCAAAGAAATGCAAACAAACCATTCAAAACCAGGTAACTTTCACCTGTAAGATTTAAAAGCCTGAAAATTCCCTGCGCTGATGAGTGCATGGCCTGGGCGGGCCCTTGCCTCTCCTAGTGTGCCTATGGACTATGTGCCCTGACTGGTATGTATTTGCTGAGGGTATTTAGTAGTACGTACCAAAATGTAAAATTGTGCACACTACTGGTTTGGCGATTACACTTCTAAGACTTGACCCCAAGGACATAGTCACTCAAGTGACAGAAAGAAGAAAAATGTACATAAAGATAGTCATCACAACACTGTTGACAATACTGAAATTGGAAACAATCTCAAGGTCTATCTGTAAAGAACACACTAAAAATCATAAAAGGAGTATACATCATAACCACTAATAATTATGTACAGCTTATACTCAGGTACATGGAAAGATATCTAAAGCGTGTCCTTGAGGAAAAGTGTTTGCAATGCCCTCCCGCTGCACTGAGGTCTCTGAGAGATGTCTGAAGGGTTTTCATGGAAATGCAGCAGTGGGTATCCCCGAGTGGGAGCAAGCAGTGTAAGGTACCCCGTGGCACAGTTGGGTTATGCATGGGGCTGCTAACCACAAAGTCAGCAGTTCGACTACCAACCCCTCTGGAGAAAGAGAAGACATTGTACTCCCATAAAGAAAGT